CTGCCCTACACATGTAGACATCTGCCCAGGAGCATTTGCTCACAAGTAATTTACTTGTGAGTAAACTGCTCCCAGCTCTAATGCATGTGTAGACACACCCTGTGTGTCCTTAAGACTGAAAGGCAAAGCTTCTGCTGGTTATTTCCTAAGTCCTAACACTATCCATCTTTTTGGACTACACCCATCCTCAGAATCCCTTAAAGGAGGGAAATATCACCCAGGGAGACCCAAGGAATAGGGGGAAGAGTAACTACTGTTGGAGAGAACTGGTTTTCTTTGGTCTCCACCACATACAAAAAGCAGACCTCCAAAAGTGAAGAGAAGGGTAGAAAAAAATAAAAATCAGGGTAAAGAACAGATATTAAAAACCAAAACAAACAAAAACCAGAGATGTAAGAGCATCTGACCCAAAGAAACCCACAGTCCTTGAAAGTTATCTGACAAATAGGGAGCATTTCAAATGTCTGCAGGCGGGGGCCAAACAGGAAAAAAACTGAAAAAAGGACAAAGTGGCACATCATTACACAAAAAGAGAATACAGATGAAAACTTTCACTAATATTAGACTAGGCTATCTAAATGTGAATTAGAAGTGCACCAATATATCTATCCATATTGGATTAGCACTGATAAAAGGAAAATTGACATTATTGGCAATCAGCTTTTTTTTGGCCGATGTAGCTGATAATGTCACTGGTGCAAGGGGAAGGTGTGTGTGTGCGCGGGGGGGGGGGGGGGGAGGAGGGGAATGGGGGGGCAGATTGAGGACCCCCACAGTGAGGGAAGGAATGGGACATTAGACAGAGCCATGAGGGGGTGGCTCCCTGTTGCTGTGTGCACCCCCAGAGGAGTCATGGGGGCATATGCCCCCCCGGATTTGGGTTCACAGCAAGTGAGGGCTGTCTGCTGGGGGCTCGGGGCCAGGGGTTGCACCAGCCTCTTCCTGGTGGGAAGTGCTGGGCTACCATCACCCCAAAATTCCCCATAGCCTCCCCTCCCACTGCTGCTTATTGACTCTGTTATTGACTTTCACCACAGGTTCAACAATTGACATCCTTTTACTAAATTCTCTCAGTAATAAATCTACACTAACATCAACTTTCTAGATACTGCAAACCAGATCCAAGATGGCATCTTAACAGACACTATATACAGAAAACTCACAGACCAGCATACTTATGTCCACAAAACCAGCAACCATCCCAGATACACCAAGAAAGCTATATGAAATATGCAGCAAGACCCACTGCATCTGCTCTGAGAATACTCATGACACCCACCTCAGCAACCTGAAAGTTTCCTTGCTGGGTTAAAGCAGTTAACAGAGATCATATCTTTGAACAAGCTACCCAAATACGCATCACTAACCTACTACCACACAAAAGAAACCACCCATTGACCATATGGTTCTGGTTGCCATATACAATCCCACAATAACACAATGCCACCTACAAGAAGGATTATCAAAAAATGTACAACCTTTTCTCAAAAAAGATAGCTTGAGAAATATTCCCAAGCTTCCCTTCCCCTGCTCCTGGCCTTCAGACAACTCCCTCCCAATACAGCCCAAGTCATAACATAAGCAAACTTGCCTCTTATCAACAGACACCTATTGGGACACAACTTCACCTTAGCAGTAAGTTTGTTAACGTGTCTCCATTGCCACCACAATCAACACCTTCCACAAAAAAACCCTCAAAATCCAAAAGCCCTGCATTTCTATCACAGAACATAGGGTAATCTCATTCAGTGCACCAAATGTCAACATGGAAACTGCGAGTGCAACTAAACTGAAACTGCACACCAGAATGAATGCTCATAGAAACAGTATAAAGGGACAACACAAATATCAGTAGGGGAACACTTCCCACAGAATAACCACTCCCTAGTGCTCAAAGGGAATCTATAAAACACCTTCAGAAGACAGGACCAGGAACTGAAATGCATAACCTTAACTGGACAATTAAAAAATCGGGACTAAACACAGATGATACTCTTATGGCTCTCTACATCTATCTATTGTTTCTATTAAATTCCCTACATAGCACAGATTATAAATCACTCTTTTCCTTCTTGAATAGTCTTGCTCTTCAACAAATTCTAGATTGCCCATACTACTATACTTCTTTCGCCTTGTAAACACTCCTGAAAATATCCCGATGATTCTAGTTCTGATTATTTTTATTTACTTATGCATACGGACCTACCTAATTCATGGGGGCTACCCCCTGATTTTGCAGGCGGAACAAGGGCCCAGGCAGCCATTTCATGGACAGAGCGCAGCAGGCCTCCCACATGCCTCTGACTGGCTGAGGAGCCCCAGTGGCCTTGCTGATTGGTTGTGGGGACTGCCAGTTATGCCACCCCACCTCTCACCATTGACTGGCTGCAAAGGCTGTCCATCATGGAGCCCTGCCCCTTGCCATTGATTGATGGAGAGAGGTGGGGCCACACGACAAGTAACCCGCACAGCCAATCAGCAGTGAGAGGTGGGAGTGGCAGCTATCTTGCCTGTATTCCTTTGAATAGTCAGCCCCCCCTTCCACTTTTTCCCACCCCCTGGGTTGCCAGAGTGCACTGAGGACCACTGGTTTCCTCTGAGGAGCCAGCATTTTGTTTTCCCCTGCAGATTTCACTGACACTGCCTGGATTTCACAGTCAATGCTAGATTTTGCAGAATCCACAGAACTGTGAATTTGGTGGGTCCCTACTTATGTTTTTTTTTTCTATCTTCAATTTAGCTGAAGTGAAGTCTTTCCCTCCTCCAAAGTTAGGTCCTCCTGCTCATTCAATAGAATAATAAATATATAAATGTGGACTAGTGTGTCAATGGGTTAACATGCCTATCACAAAAACAATACCAAGTGCGGCATAGTCAAGCGTTAAGTCTCTTACACTTATTGAAAATTACATAGACCCTACTTGCTTCCTGAACCCTGGTGAATGAAGAGGCATGCCGACAGAAGGTCGGTAAATTCCTTTTATTTAAATACAGGCAAAAATAGAGGCATTTATTCAAAATCCACTCATTAACCACCTCTGGTCTTATATACTGTATACTGCTATACAATAGTAAAAAGGTTAATACTGTGTGTGAACAGCATAATTTACAAAAGAACAGATTATAATCACAAAGTCAGTCATTAAGCCTGAATGGTCTCGCTTCTTCAGGTTGCAACAGGCCTTTTGATTAGTTACTGCTCACCTTTGGATTACATACATAAAAAAACTAGGGTAAAATACACTTCATGAGGGAAAGATTTTGGTAATCATCCTGAACTGATTTAATTGGGATATATTTGTTGAGACAAAAGCACTCTCCTCCTTTCCCCCACAAGATTTAGGATTTATTTAGACAGCTGAAGTTTGGATCCAGGAATAAACTAGTCACCGGAGGACACTTAATTTTACTTTTAAGATTATAAAGATATTCATTTCCTTATGAGAACAGGTATCATATTTCTCAAATATCAGTTTGTTTTATACTAAAAAACAAAACACAAGTTTAGGAAAAGCATGTTTTTCTTTACATAAATAATCAGCTTGAAATATTATCAAGCCTGAAACGTACTGATGTAAAAGACTAAAATCTCAAACAAAGTATCTAAAACATTTGATTTTAAGGCAGGGTACATGTTAGAAGCAGAACTCAAAAGCTAGCACAAATCTGGAAACAGAACAAGGACTTGCCCTGTGAGAAAGTTTCAGTTTGCTTGGTGCTACTCTGATACAGGTTGTTGGACAAACAACCCCACTATCAGCTGAACCGTCACTAAATTGCACCAAATGAACTGATATAGATAAAACTGTTGTTATATACCAGAAAGATATATGTCAGAGAACCTTGATGTAAAAAGCAATTTTAGACCTGATTGAATTGCAGACAGCACAGAACAACGACAGATAATTTGTTTCCACTAGTTTAATAATATATAAATAAATAATATAAATGTATATATAAATATAAATGTATGTGTGTGCGTGTATATGTATGTGTGTATGTATGTATATATATATATATATATATAAAATAAAATGCAAGTTGCAGACTAGTTGTGATGGAAAAAAAATAATCTTTCAATTATCAATGAAGCCCACTAGCCTTAAGGATAATCTTACAAAGAAAGGGTTACAGAGAAGAGGGAAAACAAAGCAAAAAGAACACATATTTCAATACCATTCCAAGGAAAATGGAAGAAAAAAATAGCTTATATTGTTGAGCTGCTAACTATAGGTATATGTAAACATTCAAGCTACAAATAAAATTCTGAATGGAAAAAATCTCTTACTTGTGAGAAATGGAAGTCATGCCTTCAATTTTCTTAAGCTTTCTTTCCACAACTAATTTTATTGACCTCTAAAGACCAGGAGCTGTATTTCTTATGCTAGTTTAAGTGCCAGTAAAGCTACTAAAGATAGATTGTGAACTTTAAGAACCTATCAATTCTTAAACTGTAGAACAAATTTAACTGTAAACACTAGTCTCATTAAAATATCTACACATGTGTTAAGATTTATGATCTTAAGATTTTAAGATTTTTCAGTTCATCATTAAGTAAAAAGAAATTGAAGTGTTACACGGCAATTTACCAGGTACATTCTTGTATTTCACTAACTATAAATTACACATGAAAGCGCAGGCCATGGAAATGGAAAGTCCCAAAGTGCACAAGTCTGTTAATATTATAGACAGCAAACAGTGAACTTAATTCAAGTTGAAAAAAAATAGCTATTAACCTGCTAAGAGTATTCCGTTTTCATTGAACCTGCTTTGACTTCATTTTGCCCCTGCACCCCAACATAGAAACACACACCTTTGCTCATCATCTGGCCGTTTGATCAAATTGAATAGTATGTGTAGGAGTTGATCTCTCTCTTTGGATTCAGGATGGAGGCAGGCTGTACACAGTATGAGTGGGATCAATTCCTAAAGAAATTGTGGGTGGAGGGGAAAAAAATCAAACAGAGTGAAAATGCTTTGGGCAAATATTCATTCAATGGCAAAAGAGAACAAAAAGAAATCTAATCACACGAGATTAGCACATTTACAGAAGATTTTTTTAATTAAAAACTCTTGGTCTCCTAAGAAGTGACCTGGAAAATGTAAAAGTAATTCTGACATTCATAAGTTATGTGCTAAATGTTTCCTATTATAATTGAGGGGAATTCAGCCCAATAAAAGTTAAAAACTTGACCAAGATGACTAGGATTAACATTTGTAGGCCAACTCTAACAATAACTGCAGGGCAGTTTATTCTACATGATCTAATAAATTGAACAAAAGTTGGTTAAAATATTAAGGTTCAGACAGAGCTCCTCCTGAAAAGCTAGTTGTGACTACATGGGAGTTAAAGAGAAAATTCACATTAGGCACTCACACAGTTTAAGGGATTTTTAAATAAAGGAAATTTCTGAAGCTGAATTCTCATCCCAGAGCAATTAAATTCCCACAGGAACAAATAATAAATTTTAAAATGAGACTGCAAAGCACTATGTGAAAGGAAATTAAGGCTGTTCACAGTAGCAGGAACTTCTTTCCTTCTACATACTCCCTCAAAATTGGATGGTATTCATTCCCAGAGAAAACAATTTTAAAGATATGGACTGGAAGTCCCTTTCCTTGATGTCAGCGATCTTAGTCCTTTCCTACTTGGAAAAGGCATAAAAAGTTGCACTTCATTTCAATAGGAAGGTATGGGAGAGAAACTTCATAGGAAGGTGGTAGAAAATGGAATGTTTGCTGAAAGAGAAGTAAGTAAGTAGTAAAAAGACCTCCAACCAGGTGAGAGTAACCCTTTCTAGTCCTGAACTCCCTCAGTATTTGTTTGTGACTAACAAGCAATGGAGGAACAGTTATGAGTTACAGGAACATGAAGTCTTTTCTAGTAATTTGGCACAGTATATAGAACCTAAAAAAAGTTGAAGCAATATCTAAGGAGACTAGAGTCTTAGAGACTTTCAGTAAGAGATTTTTCTAGTAGAGGTGAACTGATAAAGATTATTTGGGTCGATACCAATGGCTGATTATTAACAAGCTACATTGGCCAATACCGATCCTATTGATGATATGCAGTCCAGCAGCTTGGAGAGCAGCATCTGGTTGATAAGTCTGTTGCGGGCTAAGGGAAGGGGCAGACTGAGGCCCCTGCGTTGAGGAAGGGAGTGGGGCTGGGCACAGGATGGAGCCACAAACAGCTCGTTAGGGGGGTGCGGGCAGGGGGCAGCTCCTGCCACTGCATGCACCCCTGGAGGAGTCATGGGGAGCACATGCCCCCCAGATCTGTGTGTGGGGGTGGTGCCAGGCTCTTCCTGGTGGTGGAGGGACTGGACCTGCACTTGGGGTGTGAAGCAGCAGCAGCACTGGGAGGGGCCAGGGCTACCACCCCATAGCCCCCTCCCCCCTCGCAGCGCCACCGCCCACCCTGAGGTCAGCCCCAGCCCAGTTCCCCTGCCACCAGGAAGTGCCCGGTGCCACCCCTCAGCATAGATCGGGGGGGGGGGGGGAACATGCCCCCCATGGCTCCCTCGGGGGTGCATGCAGTGGTGGGAGCCACCTCCCCTCCCCGTGCCCCAAGATGAGCCACTCGCTTCCTGCGCCCAACCCTTTCCTTCCCACCCCAACAGACTTACCAGCCGGACACTGCTCTCCAAGCTGCTGGGCTGGCTGCATGCAAGCTGAAGCTGTGCATTCACACAGCATTTATCAGCGACATTATTGGCTGTATTAGCCAAAAAAAGCCAACTGGCGATTATGTCAATTTTCCTTTTACCGATGCTGATATGATATGGACCGATGTATCGGTGCATCTCTCTTTTCTAGGGTTACTGAGAAGTAAATATCACTCTGATGGACAATCATCCATTTCCCTTGTGTTTTTTAATCTATTGATAGGGAATTTTATTTCTAAAATTGAACATTGCCCAAGCTGGCCAAGACTTGATCATGGCGAAGCCTTTGCAATCCATTTGAAGGAAAAGTTGAACAATTGTTTTGCACTGTGTCTTTTTCTCCTGAAGATATACTTGGGGGACAGCAACTGAAATCCACTACCATGTTCTGAGAAGTACTCAGTTAAGCTGTAAGCTGAACGTGATTTCTAGTTTAAGGTACTGGAAATAAGCAGGTCCTCATTTTATATGTACCGATCAGGGCATGGGAGTACCCATTTACCCCTGCAAAATCCCAAGGCATACAGGGATGGATAAAATGCAAGCTGGACTGCTCAATTATATCCTCTACTATGTTTCTTATAATAGAAGTGACCAAGTATTCTTTAATACAAATATAGCCAAACATGGTATCTATACCCTTTTTAAAGCTTCCTTTGATTTAGTTTTCTTGCTAACATTTGTTACTTTTTTATTTGAAGACTTGTTCCATCCTAGAACTCTGTATGCTGTATTTTATTCTTCATATTCTGGACACTAAGATTTTGGCTGCTTTCTAATACTTTTATGGTGGTTTCTGCAAACAAACACAGTGGTTTCCACGATTTTATGCGGAAACACCACGGAAAAACTTACTAAAAATAAAATGCTGGCTCTCCGGTGGAAGCCAGTAGCTGCTGTGGCTCAGCCTTGCAGCCTGCTTGGAGGGGAAGTGGGGGAGGGGGAGCGGGGCTGGGAGTGCTGTTGGCACAAATGGGAGCAGCCAAGATGGTGGCCACTCCCCTCCATCGCTGATGGGCTGAGAGGGCTGCCTTTTGTGCGGCCCCTCCGTTCTCCGCCAATCAGCAGTGAGGGGCAGGCCACACAGAAGGCAGCCCCCTCTAATCAGAAGCAAGGGGTGGGGCTGCACAACTCAGCCAGCCAATCAGTGGCAGGGGAAGGCACCACAAAAAGACTGAAAATAGCAGCTGGCTCTGCAATTGGTCTTTGAAATCGTTCATCTGTCACCTCAATTTGGGTATGTCCCTAGCCATAATTAATCATAGAAAATTTGGGTTGGAAGGGACCTCAGGAGGTCATCTACTCCAACCCCCTGCTCAAAGCAGGACCACCCCAACTAGATCATCCCAGCCAAGGCTTTGTCTAGCTGAATCTTAAAAATCTCCAAGGATGGAGATTCCACCACCTCTCTGAGTAACCTGTTCCAGTGCTTCACCACCCTCCTAGTGAGAAAATTCTTCCTAAAATCTAACCTAAACTTCCCTTGCTGCAACTTGAGACCATTGCTCCTTGTTCCGTCATCTGCCACCACTGAGTCTAGCTCCATCCTCTTTTGAACCCCCCAGATAGCTGAAGGCTGCTATTAAATGCCCCCTCAGTCTTCTCTTCTCTAGACTAAATAAGCCCAGTTCCCTCAACCTGGTCCTCTCAAGTCATGTGCCCCAGCCTCCTCACCATTTTTGCTACCCTCTGCTGGGCTCTCTCCAATTTTTCCACATCCTTGCTGTAGTGGGAGGGCCAAAACTGAACACAGTACTCCAGATGTGACCTCACCAGAGCAGAAGAGAGAGGAATAATCACTTCCCTTGACCTACTGGCAACACACCTATTAATGCAGCCCAGTATGCCATTAGCATTCTTGGCAACAAGGGCACACTGCTGGCTCATTCAGCTTGTTGTCCACTAGCTCCCAGGTCCTTTTCTGCCCCCAGCCTGTACTGGTACATGGGATTGTTCTGTCCTAAGTGCAGGACTTTGCACTTGTCCTTGTTGAACCTCATGCGATTCCTTTCGACTCAATCCTCCAGTTTGTCTAGGTCATTCTGAGTCCTAGCCTTACCCTCCAGCATATCTATTACGCCCCCAAGTTTGGTGTCATTTGCAAAATTGCTGAGGGTGCACTTTAAGCCACCTTCCAGGTCGTTGATGAAGACCTTGAACAAAACCGGCCCCAGAACTGACCCCTGGGGTATTCCACTTGAGACCGACTGCCTACTAGACATCAAGCCATTGATTACTACTCTGATCCCGATGCTCCAGCCAGTTTTCTATCCACCTTACAGTCTACTCATCCAGCCTGTACTTACTTAGCTTGCCTGTGAGAATGTTGTGGGAGACCGTATCAAAAGCCTTGCTAAAATCAAGATACATCACAACTACCGGTCTCCCCACATCCACAGAGCCAGTCACCTCATCATAGCAAGCAATCAGGTTGGTCAGGCATGATTTGCTCCTGTGGAATCCATGCTGACTGCTCCTAATCAACCCTTTCTCCTCCAAGTGTTTAGAAATGGATTCCTTGAGGATCTGATCCATGGTTTTTCCAGGGACTGAGGTAAGGCTGACTGGTCTGTAGTTCCCTGGATCCTTCTTTTTCCCTTTCATAAATACGGGCACTATGTTTGCCCTTTCCCAGTCTTCCAGGACCTGTCCCGATTGCCATGAGTTTTCAAAGATGATGGCCAATGGCTCTGCACATCAGCCAACTTCCTCAGCACCCTCAGGTGCATCCCATCGCCCATTGACTTGTTTATGCCTAGCTTTTCTAAATAGTCTTTAATCTGTTCTTTTGCCATTTTTGGCTGCTCACCTCCCCTCCAAACTGTTGCCCAGTGCAGTAGTCTGGGAGTTGACCTTGCCTGTGAAGACTGAGGTAAAATAGGCATTGAGTACTTCAGCCTTTTCTGTATCCTCGGTCACAAGCTTGCCTCCCCAATCTGTAAGGGACCCAACCCTATCCCTGATCCTCTTTTTGCTAGCAACATACTTGTAGAAACCCTTTTGTTTCCCCTTCACATCCCTTGCTAGCTGCAACTCCAATTGCACTTTGGTGTTCCTGACTTTATCCCTGCATGCCCGAGCAATGCTCTTATATTTTTCCCTAATTATTTGTCCAAGTTTTCACTTCTTATATGCTTCCTTTTCGTGATTTAGTTTATTGAAGAAGTCCGTGCTAAGCCAAGCTGGTCTTCTGCCATATTTGCTAATCTTTCTGCACACTGGGATGGTTTGTTCCAAATATTCTGGTGTATCTTGAAC